CAGAGCGTGCCGGCCGATGCGACCGTAAAGCGTGAACGCAGGTCACGCCGGGCGCTCATCGTCTGCCGAGGGACTCCATCGTCCCATCGGGCGCGCCGTCTACCTCCAGGTCTTAAGGAACGCGCCGTGGGGTGGTGCCTTGCAACGCTCACGAGGCGCTGCTCGGGGAGCGTGCGAGACAGCGGAAAGCTGCGAGCGGTGGGCGTGGCCAAATGAATGACGGGCCGCACTTCGTGGACGGAACGCGGGAAGCGTCGTCCGAACAGGGAGTCATCTCCCTGGAGGTGAGGCGAGGGAACGAGTCGCCGTCCAGCTTCGGACACCTGATGTCAGCCCAGCAGCTGCGTCCGTGCCGAGCTGACAAACTAACTTGCGACATTTTACATTAGGCTTAAACGTGGCTTCATTGAATGTTTGAAATCTGATAAATAAATATAAATTCAACTTAACGAGGAATCGCCAGACGTGCCAGTTATAATGCCAAGGCGCTGGACAAAACAGCCGGGGGGGCATCCATATGCGAGCCAAGGATGAGTGCGGTGACGCGGGCGCCGGCGTATGTGTACGCTTGGAGTGAATGTGGCGGGGCGCCGAATGCATTGAGTCTGTGGGCTCCCAGGGTTGTTATCCAACGGGCCCTTGTCAGTATATTTCGCCAAATGCGTGGGACACTTGCCAGCTTGGCGTATTATCGGTGCATGCAGTTCCGTTTTTGCCCCGTTTAAATAGTATCATAAGTAATACCCCGGCCACCCGCTTCATCCTAGCTCTGTGGCTCATACGAGTGTGTGCTGATGTCAAGTGTACCGAAGTCACAACGTGCCGAGTCGTGTGCTTCATCATCTGATTCGTATGCTGACCAACGGCCACTCAGTATAAATTCGCTCTTGTGGGGAGGCGTGCCAGCGGCAGCCGGCGGCGCACAAATATCCAGCGGCGGCCCAGCAGCAGCGCACGACGCCCACCACAGAAACCCCCACAAAGATCCAAAGGTGTTCCAGGCCTCGAGGGGAGGGGAAAAGGTGCCCCCAATGGCTGAATCAGCGTCCATGTGGTTTGACAATATGTCTCGATGTCAAGAAGGATGCCCTGAACAATAAAGGACATCGAAAGATCCCGGACTGGAAGGGCGACCTCCGAGGACTAATTCGCCCTCCCCCCCCCCCCCCCCCCCCCTCCTCCCTCCTCGTAGTCGATGTCCCGTGGGCGAGAAGAAAACTCTTAACGCTAAAATGGCACCTCAAGAGCTGGAGAGCCGCCTCGATGGCCCGCAGGGCGCCCCTGAAGTTTGAAGATGCGTCCCGAGGGCAACAAGAACGCCCTAAAGAATAAAAGGGAGAATCAAAGCCCGGAGGGACGCCCTGCGGGCTCAAAGGGCGCCGCTGTCGCTCACAGTATGCCCCATGACCAGGTCTAAGGATGCTCTAAAAAAAGGTCTCCTATGCTGGGCCCCCGCGGGCTAAAAAGGAGTCCTTGTAGTTTGAAATTACGTTCCTTTGTGTAGAAGAATGCTTTTAAGAATAAAAGGGCGTCCTAAGCCATCGAGAGGCGCCCCGGTGATCCAAAAGATATCCTTGCGGTCTAAATATATGCTTCGAGGTCTAGAAGGATGCGCTCAAGTCATGAGTCAGCAATGCATGAAGCACAATGTATTTAATGCGCGTCGCTGCAGCCGCCAGAGAGGGGTCGATAAAATGGTTCAAGGGGCCAACCCTTCCCCCCTCCCCCCCCCCCCACGACAGCGCGGAGCTTGGAGCGTGGGCTATGGTGGCGCGCGAGTGAAGCGGGCAGCTGTTCTGGAAAAGTAGCTTGCTATTTCCATGAGCGGGGTACAGTGTTTGCGAGATCGGATTTCACTTGAGCTAAACCATATGGCTATCTCCGTGGTGCAGATAAATTAGCCAACTGTGTACTTCCCGTGGTCTTTTCAGCAATTTTATAGAATGAATCGACCAAAATTAGAGTTCTTTCGAAGTAGGTTTGACGCCGCCCTGATTAAAAATGGCGCCCCCTTGGAGAGGGTGCCTCTCCCCCGGTCGGAATTCCTGAATCCGTCCATGTTTGTCGATGTCCGCACTCTTGTTACCAAGGCACCTAAAAATTGGCAGGACATCACCAAAACTTTCGATGCATATGAGCAAACATGGGAATGCTGGGGTAAAGAAATACAGCAAGTGTCTGAACTGCGGTACACTAGGTACCTGAACACAATACTGCCAATATCATCATTATGTAGCATTATTACCATCACATCGACTTTGAGTAGGAAGTCATTCCGCCCCTTCAAAACCATTTGAGACCGACCACATGGTTCTTACCGTTAATTTTGACATCAGGGTGAATCAGAGTGACCAAGATCTGGGGAGAAATCAGCATTTCGGGGCGGGTTAAGCTAACTTTATTTGCTTGGCCCGTAACCTACTTCAGAAAGTGACACCCTGCTCGCGGCGACGAACGGCAATCGAAAGACTGCTCTCTCGTCCGGCGGTAGATCCGCCGCAGGCTACGAGACGAAAGCACCGTGGCAGACAGGCCACGCCAGCGCACTGCCGAGGCACCAGATGTCCCTCTGACACGCAGCCGTCCCACCGCCGCCACCGAGACACCAGACGTCCCTCGCACACGCAGCCGACCCATCGCTGCCACCGAGACACAATACGTCTCTCTGACACGCAGCCGCCGCCGCTGCGACCGAGACACCAGACGTCCCTCTGACCCGCCGCCGTCCTACCGCTGCGACCGAGACACCAGACGTCCCTCTGACACGCCACCGTGCCACCGCTGCTACCGAGACACCAGACGTCCCTCGCACACGCAGTCGCCGCTGTTCCGTGTGCTCTGTCGCCGCCCTGTGTTGGAACGCAGGACAATGCCGGGGTATGATGCACCGCTCCTCCGCGGTCATCCATCTGTTTGTCGTGGCGGTACGCGGCCTCGGGGCGGCAGCCGTCTGCCTGTAAACACGGGCTAACGTGGCGGGGTGGACAGGGCGGTCAGGTCAGCACAGCTGAACACGGACCAGCGGGGCGGGGTGGACAGGCCGGTTAGCACAGCTGAACACGGACCAGCGGGGCGGGGTGGACAGGCCGGTCAGCACAGCTGAACACTGACCAGCGGGGCGGGGCTGCGTTGGCTTTCTGCTTAAGTAATTCACATTAGCTTGAGCATGCGCGAAGTAGCAGAACGGCCTCTGGATTAAGCTCCCACAAATGCCATCTGACTCGGGCTTGGTAGCACTTGCAGCGACAATGTGCCTGAGGCACTTAGCTCCCTGCCGCAGGCACTTCTACTCGACAACTTGACCATGTTGCTGCGCCCTTGCGCGTGTACTGCGCGGCAGTGTACATACTGCTGGTGTCTGATGGAATCGACCGCAAAGGCTTCAACCATTTTCTCAAATGAAACCATCGAGGCGAAAATCACATAAATCCACGATTTCACCATTTGTGACGATGTATTGCCAAAATATGGTGTCACATGACAGCAGTGAGCTCACCTGACGCCCGTACGCACCCCTTTCCGTGCTACATCCATCAAAACACATCTACCTTTCAGTGCCTTCCACAAAGTCCCGGCGGTCGGGCCAACTCCCCATCACCCCGTGAGTGGCGCCTGGTAGCCGTCTGTAACGCGGTCGGCACGCGGCGCCGGCAGGCCCGTCAGCGGCGGACCCCCGCTTCGACCGGTCCCAGTCGGCGCGCCGCCGAACACCAGCTCGGCACGTCCGGCTGGCAGAAGCGGCTGCAGGGGTCCCCAATCACGTCAGCCACGCACGAGCGGTTAGTTGATTTCGCCCTCATCAGATCACGTCAGATTCTGCGCTCGAGGGGTGGGCGTGGAAGGTGGGCAGCCCACAGCACCTCCAACCGTGGGAGGTGGCCGCCATGATGAGCATCACCGTGTCCAAAATATCGCCGCGGTCACCACTTTGCCGGAAAAGGCAAGAGTTAAGCGCTTGTCCGGATTGTTAATTTCAAAAGGTCGCCATATGAAACATCAGATGACAAATGAGTAAGGTGTTCTGATAGACTCGGAAATCGCATCCCAGTAGTAAACAAAATATTTACTTGCATGCTCCTCGAGCCGTTACGTCACCTGTAACGGTTAAGCAGGATTCTAGTAGCATTATCTAATTTGTTGCTTCGTATGCCTCCACTTCGAACTATGATTGAAACGGACGAAATGTTCCTTCAGTATTCTACGTTAAGTAGGTAAGTCAGATTGGGGCAGTGATGTAAGAAAATGACGCGAAATCCTCGGCACAACCTCCTCATGTCGGTGAGCAATCACACGTTCGTTGGATGAGCATTAGGAGACAAGACCACATCATTACGGCATGGAAAACAAAGTGATCACTTCATGGCGTACTCTTCGTGCATGATGAAGCATTGAACATTAGCTTTGGCATCATAACAACCATGCCACATGTCAACAGCCGTGGTAAACTACGTCAGTACTGCAACACATCAGCTTCCAAAGTCCTTTGGCTCTAAATGACCTAGCTACGACGCATCGATATCAACTCCGTGAGATTCCCGGCTTCCGCCATCCCAAACCCACATCTTCACCAGCTCCACTACTACGACACAGCACGATCTCGACGACCACCCGGACGAACCGAGCCCACCTCCCCCAGCCAGTCCGGATACGGCGGCCACAGCGACACCACCCCATGGCACGGCCTCGTGCACGCCTCGCGCCGCGCCGTTCGTAGCATGGCACTGTCGTGAGGTTGTGTTGAGCACCACAGGTCACCGGACGGCCGTTACAACGCGGTGATACGCGCAGTCGGCGGCGCCCGTCAGCTGGCCTGCTGCAGCGCCGCAGGAGCGGCCGGCGGCGCCCGTCAGCTGGCCTGCTGCAGCGCCGCAGGAGCGGCCGGCGGCGCCCGTCAGCTGGCCTGCTGCAGCGCCGCAGGAGCGGACGGCGGCGCCCGTCAGCTGGCCTGCTGCAGCGCCACCGGAGCGTCCGGCGGCGCCCGTCAGCTGGCCTGCTGCAGCGCCACCGGAGCGTCCGGCGGCGGTCAGCTGGGCTGCTTCAGCACGGCGCGCACGTCTTCGGGCAGGCTGCGCGTGACGTCGCGCAGCTGGAGCCGCAGCTTGGCCAACGTGCTGGCGTGCACCGGCAGTCGGTCTGTGTCGGCGTCAGCCAGCTTGCGCCGCAGCCGCAACACCAGGTCCACCACCTCCACCTCCTGCTTGTCCTTGACCCAGGTCAGCACGTCCTGCCGGCAGCCGGACGTCACTAGCGTGACGTCGCGTGGTCACTGGTGTGGTGGCCGTCACCCGGTGACGGCCAGCCACACCAGTGACCCGACGAGGTGGGGGCATAGCTGACGATGGTGGCGTCAATGTTACGTGATGTTAATTGTGAAGTTGATAGCTGATCTCTGGTGAGTCATTGCTTTGGCATGATGTGACGATTCTTGGTGATACGCCACCGCTGCTGGTGTTGAAGGTACCACTGCTGTGATGTGATGTGGCAACTGCTGATCATAGCGATCACTTCAGGGACGCAGTAACCGCTGCTTACGGGGGAGTCAGTTCCGTAACGTGTTGACTGTTGGCGTCAGCACCGGTATGGCCGCCGCTGGGCCAATAACTATGTTAATCCCAGACGGACGGCCCCCAGCGAGAGAACGACCAGCGGAACAACAACCGTAAGTAACAGATTGCGAACACCACCTTTTTATGTTTCTCTGACGCGTCAACATCTAGGAAAAACCCTGGAGCGAACAATTTGGCATATGTGGGCTCCCTGGGCCTGTGAGCCACTCTGACCCAGAAGCAAACACCATCGCAGTTGACGCACCATTAAAACCCGAGAGCCCACTGACCACTCTGGCCCACCCCTGGTACTGGGGTAACGACTGACAGATAACTCAGCCTCGGCACTAGTACTGACCCACACACTACTGACCCGCCGGTTCTGGTCCTCATCCACAGGCGATTGAGCAGTCCCACACGCGACTGACCCCTACCGTGGTGCGCCGACCGCCACACGGCCGAACCCCAGACATTGATCCCCGCACGACGGAATCACTCCGACCGAACCCCAGACATTGATCCCCACACGTCCGAATCACTTACGCTGGTACTGACCTGAACACGACTGAATCACTCACACCGGCACTGAAACTCACACGAGTGGACACCCCTCATTGGTACTGATTCATACACGACTGAATCACTCACACTGGTACTGATCCAAACACGACTGAATCACTTACATTGGTGCTGCAACAAACGCGTCTGAACCACCCACAATGGTACTGAACCCCACGTGACTAAGCCCCATCACTGGCACAGATCCACAAACGACTGAATCACTCACGACCCCACGCGCAGCTGAACGCTTGGCACCGGCCTGGACGTCACACGTCTAATCCATGCAGCGGCACTGATTGACAGCGGCCTGAGTGGCTGCGGCTGGCGCGACGCACTACCGCGCACTGAGCGGTGTGGCTGGCAGCGACGCTCACTCACCGGCGTCACTAGCGTCTGAGCGGCTGTGTGCTGGCAGCGACGCTACTCACCGCGTCCACTGAGCAGCTGTGTGGCTGCAGCGACTCACTCACGGCGTCACTGAGCGTGTGGTGGCAGCGACGCTCCCGCGTCACAGCGACGACGCTACTCACGCGTACTCATCTGACGCGCTGCCTGTGGCTGGCAGCGACGCTCACCGCGTCACTGGAGCGGCTGTGGCAGCGGCACTCACGCGTCTGCTACTGCCTCACCGCGTACGGCGCTGTGGCTGGCAGCGACGCTACTCACCGCGTCACTGAGCGGCTGTGGCTGGCAGCGACGCCACTCACTCACCGCGTCACTTACGCGCACTGAGGCTGTGGCTGGCGCGACGACTCACCACTCACTGACGCTGTGGCAGCGGCGCGTCACCGTCACTGAGCGGCTGCGGCTGGCAGCGACGCCACTCACCCGCGTCACTGAGCGCCTCCAAGTGCAGGGCCTGCAGCTTGCGGCTGATATCGTCGTGACGCTCGTTGAACCAGTGGCTGAAGTTGGTCGAACGGAAGAAGCGTCGGTACAGCCCCACCTGCCTCCGGAATGATGGTTAGTGCGATACGGTCCGGCCGGAACGCCATGACGCCATACACGACTGTCCGGAACACTGTCACATCACACACGACGGGCTGGAACGCCGTCACACCACACACGACGGTCCGGAACACCGTCACACCACACACGACAGTTTTGAGCACCTTCACACCACACACGACAGTTTGGAGCACCGTCGCACCACACACGACGGTCCGGAACACCGTAACACCACACACGGCGGTCCGGCACACCGTCACACCACACACGACAGTTTGGAGCACCGTCACACCACACACGATGATCCGGCACACCGTTACACCACACACGACGGTCCGGCACACCGCTACACCACACACGACGGTTCGGCACACCGTTAAACCACACACGACGGCCACGGCCCGGAACACCGTCACACCACACACGACAACCCGGCACATTGTTTACACCACACACGACGATCCGGCACACCGTTACACCACACACGACGGTCCGTAACACCGTCACACCACACACGACGGCCCGGAACACCGTCACACCACACACGACGATCCGGCACATTGTTTACACCACACACGACGATCCGGCACACCGTCACACCACACACGACGGTCCGGAACACCGTCACACCACACACGACGATCCGGCACACCGTCACACCACACACGACGATCCGGCACACCGTCACACCACACACGACGATCCAGCACACCGTTACACCACACACGACGGCCCGGAACACCGTCACACCACACACGACGGTCCGGAACACCGTCACACCACACACAACGATCCGGCACACCGTTACACCACACACGACGATCCGGCACACCGCTACACCACACACGACAGTCCCGAACACGGTGAACGGGCTGACCCGTCGCATGCCTCTTGATAGCTATTGCGTAGTAGCACCACACGAAGAGCACCGTCTCAGAGAGTTGGCTTCATCTGATTGTACGTGTTTGCGGTAAGAACTATCACCGTTCTGCATGACCACGGAGCAACAGCCACGGACCAGGCGTTGTTCCCGCCGGCCGCGAGCCGCGAACCTCGGCTGGCAGACTGCTGAGAGCGTGCGTGGCGCGAGCGCTTACCCAGTCTCCTTTGATTCCGGTGGTGAGCTGAGGCCCGGAGTCGCCCAGGCGCTGGCAGAAGTCGTCCGGGTTGAACGGGCGCATCACCGGCGCCGCCTGAGAAGGTGGACGACCAATAACACTACATCAGGGACCCTGGTAACAATGATTCACAGACAATGCGGGTGATCCTCACCAAGTGCAACACCCTGGTGTGCGGACACACACCAGGCGAGACCACATCGTAACCACCACCGTGCATAGGTTCACCACGGCATAACAGCTGGCCAGCCGGTGCGACCGGAGGCGGCAGCGCGGCAGCAAGACCCGGCACCGGCGCCCTCCCCTCCCCCGGCGGCTGGCCGATCCTAGACGGCCGCAGCGCAGCCAGACCCGGCACCGGGCCTCCCCGGCGGCTGGCCGATCCCAGACGGCCGCAGAGCAGCCAGACCCGGCACCCGGCCTCCCCGGCGGCTGGCCGATCCTAGACGGCCGCGCAGAGCAGCCACCCGGCACCGGCCTCCCCGACGGCTGGCCGATCCCAGACGGCCGCAGAGCAGCCAGACCCGGCACCGGGCCTCCCCGACGGCTGCCGATCCCAGACGGCCGCAGAGCAGCCAGACCCGGCACCGGGCCTCCCCGACGGCTGGCCGATCCTAGACGGCCGCAGAGCAGCCAGACCCGGCACCGGGCCTCCCCGACGGCTGGCCGATCCTAGACGGCCGCAGAGCAGCCAGACCCGGCACCGGGCCTCCCCGACGGCTGGCCGATCCCAGACGGCCGCAGCGCAGCCAGACCCGGCACCGGGCCTCCCCGGCGGCTGGCCGATCCCAGACGGCCGCAGAGCAGCCAGACCCGGCACCGGGCCTCCCCGACGGCTGGCCGATCCCAGACGGCCGCAGCGCAGCCAGACCCGGCACCGGGCCTCCCCGACGGCTGGCCGATCCCTGACGGCCGCGGCACCCCCGGCGGAGCGGTGCCGGGCCGACGGTGCACCGTCGCACCAGTCTACCTTGTACGGCGAGATGCTGCGCTGGAGCGGCATCAGCGTGGCGATGTAGCGCTCCAGCGGCAGCACGAAGCTCTGCGTCAGCTCCAGCAGGTAGCGCCGTAGCAAGGCGCTCTGCGCCTCCTGCGGCCGCTCGGTCGCCTGTCCCCGCTGCAGCTTGCCCTGTATCGTCTTGTCTACGGGCGGACGGGTGGCACACCGTCACCAGCCGGTCCCCGACGCCGGGCTGAGCTGCCGCCCGTCACCAGTCTCAGCCTGAGCCAGCAGCCGGTCAGCAGCGGCAGGCTGCCATCCAGGCGGCATCAGTGCGCTGGGTGCTTCCCAGCAGGGGGTGATGAGTGCAGGGACCAGCAAGCGTCACAAGACCATGGCACAGCGCCTTCTGTCATGCACTATGCCGGCTTACGTTCGAGTGCTAGCCTACCTCTCTGTAGAAATGGTTTGTACTGTGTGTAGAGGCCGGGCTTCGAGTCAACGGTCTTTAGACTGCCGCCTTTCCTAATCTTGTTCTTCTGCGTGGTACCAGCCAAGCCTGAAACGAAAACCATGTCGCTACATTTTACAAGTTACAAGCAACTTGTAAAAGCACTTTGACCACTCCTGCTCCTCCCCCCCCCCATCCCCCTGACAAGCCAGCCGAGACTACTCCCACCCACCGGCTGACCACTCCCACCCACCAGCTAACCACTCCAAACCACCGGCTGACCACTCACGTCCGCCGCCTGACCACTCACTGTCCGGCGGCTGACCACTCACGTCCGCCGCCTGACCACTCACGTCCTCCAGCTGGCCACTCCCACCCACCAGCTAACCACTCCAAACCACCGGCTGACCACTCACGTCCGCCGCCTGACCACTCACGTCCGCCGCCTGACCACTCACGTCCGCCGCCTGACCACTCATGTCCGCCGGCTGACCACTCACGTCCGCCGCCTGACCACTCACGTTCGCCGGCTGACTACTCACGTCTGCCAGCTGACCACTCACGTCCGCCGCCTGACCACTCACGTCCGCCGGCTGACCACTCACGTCCGCCGCCTGACCACTCACGTCCGCCGGCCGGCCCGCCGATGCGCAGGATGTGCGGCCATTGCTGCAGCGTCTTGGCGAAGAACGGGTTGGTGACACCCAGGATGACGGGCGGCGGAGCCTGGCTCCCGCCCAGCTGCGTCAGGTCCTTGAAGTCGGTGTCGTGGATGGTGAAGAAGGGCCGGTAGTCGCCGCAGTAGCGCAGCGGCCACACCAGACTGTGGCCAAGCCAGACGGCGTTACTCGCCGACTACCACAAGCATAATGCGACCAGAGTTCTGCGCCCCGCATCACCTGGCGCCGGGACACCTTTAACTAAAGCCCCAAGAGGCGCTGGTCATGGTAACCACCGCGAGCCTAAGCCAGCAGGGCGTGCACCAATAACCAAAATACACACAGTACTCGACAAAGGGCGATTGCGAGTTCGATGTTGTAACACAACTTCACGGTTTCTTGGCTTGATGTAATACGCTAGCATTGGCAGAGAGGATGTTGAATTTACGTTGGTACTATACATAATACACCTACACTAATGAGGAGAGAAGCACACGTGGCATGATCTGGTGATCAGACGAGTTGCGGTGGGCGGAACAGGAGGCAGGGCAGCGCTCACCTGACCAGCGCCTGCACCACGTGACTGCAGACGGCCGGCGTGGTCGCCATGACGACCAGCGGCTCGGCCGTGATGACCAGCTCCCAGAGCAGCTGGGCGTGTGCCAGCAGCGGCTGCAGCGCCGAGAACAGGTCTGGCTCGTGCACGCTGGCCACCAGCGTGCTGGCCGCGGCCGGCCGGCGGGCCGGCGAGGCCGGCAGTGGCGCACAGGTCAACATCCTGTCCTGCTGCGCCGGCAGCCGCACCTGAGACGTCGGCAGCACCGGCCGGCGTCAGCAGACAGACAGAGACGGCGCCGGCCGGCGTCAGCAGACAGACAGAGACGGCACCGGCCCGCGTCAGCAGACAGATAGACGGCACCGGCCCGCGTCAGCAGACAGACAGACGGCATCGGCCGGCGTCGGCAAACAGACGGCACCGGCCGGCGTCAGCAGACAGACAGAGACGGCACCGGCCGGCGTCAGCAGACAGACAGAAACGGCACAGGCCCGCGTCAGCAGACAGACAGAGACGGCACCGGTCCGCGTCAGCAGGCAGACAGAGACGGCACCGGCCCGCGTCAGCAGACAGACAGAGGCCGGCGTCAGCAGACAGACAGAGGCGGCACCGGCCCGCGTCAGCAGACAGACAGGCGGCACCGGCCGGCGTCAGCAGACAGACAGAGACGGCACCGCCCCGCGTCAGCAGACAGACAGAGACGGCACCGGCCCGCGTCAGCAGACAGACAGAGACGGCACCGGCCCGCGTCAGCAGACAGACAGAAACGGCACCGGCCCGCGTCAGCAGACAGACAGACGGCACCGGCCGGCGTCAGCAGACAGACAGACGGCACCGGTCGGCGTCAGCAGACAGACGGCACCGGTCCGCGTCAGCAGACAGACAGTCGGCACTGGCCGGTGGTCAGCCTTCGTCATGGTTTTCTAATTAAAAGCAAGACCAAAGACGAAGTGAATTAAAGAGTGTCTTCCATCAAGCATTTCACAGTGATAAGGCAATGGGAACAATAACTAGAACTTTTTCACTTGGGTAAGATGGGCGGCAATTGAAACAACATATGCAGCTTTCCCACTTAGGTACGACGGAAAAGTGGCATTCGCTACGAGCGAAAAAGTCGTATGACCCGAGTTGAAACCAGGCTCAGATATAGACAGCACGGCGTCGTAGATCAACACATTCTGCCGGAGGAGCGACCGCCAACCCGCGACGGACTGACCCGTGCTTCATATCCTAATTCTTCCGCTTTTGCTGAAAATGACTCATGCGTGTAAAACCCGCGTGTTAAAGTATCGGCTTTATCAGGGCAACGGTTCACAAATTTGACCAAGCATGTTGGAATGGTGAAACGACCAGGTATCTTTGGAGGCGGTATAACTCCACAGAGATGTGTTAGACTCTAAAACCACATTTGGCCTGAGTTAAGTCGCGTCATAAATTTTTAGTGGCGTGCAATTTCAGAATATGACATCGTGAACTGATGCCTCGCAACATGCCAAGCATGTTGGAATGGTGAAACGACCAGGTATCTTTGGAGGCGGTATAACTCCACAGAGATGTGTTAGACTCTAAAACCACATTTGGCCTGAGTTAAGTCGCGTCATAAAGTGCAATTTCAGAATATGACGTGAACTGATGCCGCCTCCGTGGTCTTGGGGAAAGATGCTGGACTCGTAATCCAGCGGCACTGGGTACGAGTCCCAGAGTGGGCGCATTGTTTGACCCGACTGAAACGGAAAGGCCAGCTGGCAACTGGTCAACGAGGCTCAACCCAGACCCGAGGCGGCCGTGTCGCAGCATTGTGCGGCACGTAAAACCCTCCGCATTCCTGTCCGGCGAAAGGGCGTAGGCAAAATTAGCTGTTGAACTGGACGGCACGCTTGGGTGGTGGGTTTGGGGTACACGCAACAAGCTATGCTTAGCAGGTACTCTGAATCCGAAGTCACCCATACAAACCATTCGGGATAAATTTATAAAAAAACATATGATGGCCTCAACCCGTTTGATAGCGACCAAGTTGACCAACCAGAATCTGACATGCATCATGCAGTTAACAATGTCGTAAGTTACAATGCATTGTTTAGTGGAAAATGCCTAAACTTGACCCTATAAACGGGCCCTTATTGGCCTTTTGGACTAATTTCATCAATGGGCCCGCCGCGCAACAGATTAGGAGGTTTTTCTGGACTCACGTGTCCTGATTCTTTAAGGGTTTCCTCGTTTGGAGTTGCTCACTCAAGACCATGAGCACAGCTTGAGATGACGGAATCCGGCAATATGGCCAATGTTTGCTTGATATCGCCGTTTAGACAGTATCTTCACGTATACTGAAGGTTGATAACTGTCAACACGGGAGCTCTGATCTCATCACGCGAAAAGAGTGCAATATTTTTGAAGGGCTCCATAGTAGTGATGCTCGTCATACTAACGCAGTTGTTGACCGTGTAACATCTTTTAATGGTACCACGACATTTTTAGTACTGATGGTGCTAAGAAGTGTAGTAATGTTTCTGCGCCATTAAAATAGGCTATGGGCCGTTTTTACTGTAGCATACCCCCCCCCCCCCCCCTCTGAAAACAAGGACAGAGTACTCCACTTGTGAGCATCCTGAGAACTTCCGCGATGACGAATTCTTTTGACCAATCGAGTGCCCATGCATCATAAATAAGTCTTGCACTTTGACAAATGGACGGTAGAAGACCGAGCCGGCTCAGTAATACGTCACATGACGTAGCGTTATTTTCCGTTTTACTCGCCATCACTTAGCATGGGGGGTGACCGTGGCGGTGCTGGATGTGTATCCTGAGCCAAATATCGTTATGTGCTCATGTTTTGGCCCTTCATCCTGGTGTCGCTACATATTTATCCATGAGTTAAAGGTATTTACTTGTATTCACAGGCTCGGTTTCAACACTATTCGTAACTTGTTCGATTATACGTCCTACTTCCGTAAGATCCAGCATATACGTTCGACTTATTGCATTATGTACCATAAAACGTGATTGTTTGAATCTTCCGCTGCCTGCAAAACGTTGATTGAGAGACAGCTGAACTGCATGATATCTGTAAACAGTCTTTACGAACGCCAGCCACTGACGACTTGATTAATCGTTTTCCTTGAACGACGCATGGCCTGCGGGGTGGCTGGATTTGAATAAAGTTTATGTGGTGTTATTCATGACTGAAAACCTTGGAATAGTTCGCACGAAATGATCTGCACACCTTCGTGGTCCCGTAGCTCAGAAACTGGAGCGTTTTAGGTCTTAAGGAGGACAGGGCTGTGAACTGCACCTAATGACCTTCAATATGACCATTTCCGTTCCCATAAAATAAAATACGAAACCCCATACCCCATACCCCATAAACCCCTTACAGTACGAAACACTCCCTTGAAGTTCTCGGGTCGCATTGCATCAGCTTAGGTTCTCAAAAACATATCTTTCATCTCAGTACACCTACACGCTATCTTTCACCGATATTTGAGAGACGCGGGTGTCGAATCGGAAATTTCACGGTTCATTTGTCGTAGCGCGCATCGTCGGAAACTAACTGTAAGTGGGCGTATGCAGCTCGTCACGCGCCGGCGAGTGCATCCTCCCACCGGCACGTTTTTAAGCTATTTTCTGAGGCACCGATGTCAGGCGCGGTACCCAGAACAGATTAAGCCGAGAAACCGGCTGCATACACGAACGCATTACCGACACATCCGCAAGGCGAGCCGACACGGTCCGATCCGTAAGCGCGCCAGAGATCGATCCGAAGGCGGCCGACACGGCCTTTCTCGAGCCGCCTCCATATAACGCACCGCGCTCTGAGCCGAGAGGCTGGGTCTCGAAATCCACACACACATAACACTGCATTCAATGTCTAGCAAAACTGGTTGCGTTGTTCACCATGCCCCGGTCACAGCCGCCAGGAACTTTGCAATGGCTGAAGCCATGCATTTTGTTGTCTGAAAGTGCCAGACCCGCCGGACCCACGGCCAACCATTTGCAGGTCATGTAAGTGATGAGGTTAACACGCGAATGCGTCATCACAGAGCCTTTGATTGCTATGCTTCCATGAAGTGTGCACTTTCCAACGCATTAATCGAGCCCATCGGTATGGATTTTCGAAGGTGTCTGACCGCATTAGCCTAGGCTCCGACAGCATCTATGCTATGATTGGTAACTATGGCGTCTGTAATCATCTCCCTCGTTCCGCGCCGTACGAGGCGCCTCACTGATGTTACAATGGCCCGATGGTCATGGAAATACATCAGCTCCCCATGCCACGAGCGAGCGTGGACACGGACGATCAGATGTAAGGTCAGCAGCACCGCCCAGCTTTCTCGGTGGCGGCGCCTCGTGGCAGGAGCGGTCGGCCAATAGCCTCCGCCCCGGCTGCCGCGCGGCCGATGCTGCCGGCCAGGCACGGCAGTCCACGAACGGAGGAGCGCCGGCTGGGCTGGCCGCACGCCGCAGCGTCACCTCCAAATGACGCCGAGCCACGACCCCGCCGTGCTATTCGGCTGATGGCCTCAAACTACACTGCGCCATGGTTCAAACTAGCACATTCAACGTCCACAGTTTGCAGCCAGGGGCACGCCCATTCCACCCGCCCGCCCCCCCCCCCCCCCCCCCCGTGATCTCGGTCGCACACGCCGCTGCCTGACAACCGTCGTCGCGTGACGTAGGCGGGGAGGGGGCATCACAGACCTGGAAGAGGTGCCCTCGGACGAGCAGACCGAGCGTCTGGCCCGGCACGGGGTCCGGCCACCGGTCTATGTCGGCGCACGCCGCCGCCAGCGCGTCGCCGTCGCCGTCGAAGTACTCCGGCGCCAGCAGGCCCACCACCTTGCTGAACAGGTTCACGAACGGGTACCTGGTGAGCAGCACCACCGACTGCCGGCGCACCGGGACAGCCGTCAGCCTCCGGCCCGGCGTCACCACCGGCCAGCCGGCGGCAGTCGAGGTCGGACCGGCTGGGCCACACGACCACAGACCACGCCGAGACCCTGACGGCCGGCGGCAGTCGGGGTCGGACGGGTTACGTGACCCCACAGACCACACCCAGACCCTGACGGCCGGCGGCAGTCGGGGTTGGACAGACCACACGACCCCACAGACCACACCCAGACCCTGACGGCCGGCGGCAGTCGGGGTCGGACAGACCACACGACCCCACAGACCACACCGAGACCCTGACGGCCGGCGGCAGTCGGGGTCGGACGGGTCACGTCACATATCCGTCGGCGACCGCCAGGCATATCCACAGACGAGACAGGATGAAACCCAGACACCGACTCTCCGACGGACGCCCCGAACTGACGAGCCACTCAAGATTAACACCAAGCAAAGTGGCAGCGTTGTGTACAGAAAATGTTTTAAACGAGTTTGACTGCGATATCTTAAGAACATAACATGTCCACCCAATCCCGCCAAGTTGTTTGCATTAATAGACTGCTCCTGACAGCATAAAAAGATGATGCTGTTCACCATACAATATTCAGTTTTAACGTTCCAGCCGTATTTCGGTTTCCCTGTGCATGAAAAGCAACACAATGTCCTGACTGAGCCCGTGCGAGCCCAGACTGGATGACACACCTTCTGAAAGTAGCCTCGACGCAGTGACCTGTCCTTGACCTGTCGGAAGTAGGCGAACCCATACAGGAACGCGCTCTCGATCTGCAGGCTCGGCGGACACTCGCTGTTGTACCTGCCGAGGAGGGTGGCGCGCGCCTCAGCCGGCCGCCTCCTCGGCCGGCAGCGGCCGGTCGCCGCCGCCGGCCGTCGACGGCGTCAGAGATCGCCCGCAGGCGTCAGTAGGGCACTAGCACTGGTGCTCTCACAGCGGTTACAATGAGTGGCTATAGCGACGTGGCATGGACACACCAGGGCTTGGCGGATCTCAAAGCATCTTATAGTTTCTGATGGGAAATATCGCTGACGTCAACTAAGGTAACTAAAAACTCCGGTAATATCACAACCAAACAAGGTGACATCGCGAATGCAATGAAGGCAAATAGAGTGGATTAGCCAACACACCAACATAACGCGGGATACCCATTCAGCTGCACTGTCCAACGCGGTGTGTTATCGCCACCACGCACAGAACATCCCGAAAAAGCCTAACCTTACTGAAATGGCTAAGGAACAACGGCAAGCAATAGTACAATTGGACTCCAAGCGTTTTGTACATGAAGTGTAGTACGCGACTGGCCACGGCCCATGCATTCCCTCTCGGGGGAAGACCATCTGGCGTGTGAAAACTCCACAACTTGCTTACTTCAGTGTCGGCTAGACTTGGATAAGAATAAATAGCATTGCGTCACGAGCCCAATACAGCAGCGGTCATCTATGCTCCCCCCACCCTCCCCCTCCTCCCTTACCCCCTCCCCTTACCGTCACCCACTTCCCCTCTCCCCCGTATGGACCGATGTAAATATCGAGATCGGCTGGCCATAGCCTTGAGGAGTGAATAATCTGACATGTTAAACTGACTGACTGACTGACTGACACAAGACTGACCTCATCGGCACGCGGCCCCGCCTGTGCTCACCTGGTCTGCGCGGCCGCCGGCGGACTGGACTGACCTCATCGGCACGCGGCCCAGCTTGTGCTCACCTGATCTGCGCGGCCGCCAGCGGACTGGACTGCCCTCATCGGCACGCGGCCCAGCCTGTGCTCACCTGGTCTGCGCGGCCGACAGCCCGCCGTCACACTCGGCCCGCATCAGGCGGAAGTGAAACTGCGTGTCGCCCATGCAGCCCGAGTTGGAGTCGGGGAAGGCGAGGTAGCAGACGCTGGAGCGCTCCTGGTCCGCCAGCCGGCTAGGGCTGGGCAGCACCGTCTGCCGCCGCCGGACACCATCAATCACCCAGCAAGAGTACGACGGGGAACGCTAAAATATTCCTGTACATAACAGCTCTCATGGGGCCCAACCCAGTTCGAACTGGCTAAGAGGCATTTTTCACCCCGACCATGCCGGTGGAGCTTGTTGACGATGGAGAACTCTGTAAGCGACGACCATAAATCACTGTGTGGCCTGCGTACCTCTGTGATTGGCGCTTGGGATTATTCAATATGTGGAATTGGCATTTCTTTGTTTGCCGAAAGACTTCAAATCTCCACAAGGTTGAGAAGAACTAAACGGGGCTCGAAATAGTGGAATCACTGTCCATTCTGCGTTTCTGTTAAATACGCAGGATTTCTACTGCATGACAATGGCATAACCCCTAACCTGAGAAACTGAAACGTTCCTTTTAATTAAACATTTGTGTCAGCTTTATGCGCCTCGCTACGCACGTCCATGCTTTGTAACGTGGCGCTAGAACCATTATCTTGGGCAGGAGGTAATTCTTTGGGATAAGAGGCATTCCGTGTAGCTTAGTATCACTCTGATGATTGCATATACTCAAGCTAACACAAATTAAGTTCCTGCAGACACCGTGAACTCTGCTCTACAACATTTACGGAAGGCGTTTTCAGGCATGCCGTATGAGTAACCTTAATTGGTCAAACACGGCCGTGGTCACTTTCGCCGTGTTTTTGTCGAGACAGGGCGGGGCTCGCCAAGATCTGGCCGGGCCATGATGGCATTCAACATTTTTGCACGTCGTCCAAGGTCATGTTTGTTCTAATCCTGGCCACGGCTGATCCTGAACGACCCTGATACCACACGGTCACTTTACGCAACTGCCGGGAACATGTAGCGATAAGATTTGCGCTATGTTCGTAAGAATCAATCATTTGGTGGTGAACGGCGACTTCCACTTGGAATTATTCGATCCGGAGCTGTTTATCGAAGCAATGCTGTCCCGAGGTTACCCTTGGGCATTATTAATGTCCAAGGTTACCCTTGGGCATCACCTTCAGCGTTGAAGGTTACCATTGGCAATCGACCGATTGCTGGTCTTCTCTTCGACGCAACACCTAATCCATCCCCACGGTTTTTGCGACTCAGAAGTTGAACACAAAACATTGAGACGCACTGGGAAACGGCAGAATGCTTTCTGCGCTGCATCGACCTGCTCTTCACTAAGTGCGCCTCGTGCAGCCCGGGTTTTAGGTTACCTTGCCGTGCTTTCGGACAACACGGTCTTAACACAAGCTGCGCACTCTTCAAAAATATGTTGACTGCTGGCAGGCGGGCGCGGGCGTCCGCATCCAGGTGCGCGTTGGGCACTGGTCCCAGCCGACCGGCCGGCGACTCCCGCCGTCGGTCGAACGGCCAGAGGCGGTGCCCACGTGACCGGCCGCGGTCAACCATGACCCGCAGTGACCCCGGCAGGCAAGCCGCCCGCATGGCCGGGCGTCATCCACACATCTGACATCGACGCTTGCCAAACACGTCCGAAGTCCAAACACATGAGCCCCGAAACCGGCGTCGACAACGTGGCCAGGAAGCTCCGACTAGTAACCGGACTCGGGGGTGCGGTTTTACAACAAAAAAGGTCGGAAGACGGACTGAGGGTAACCAGATGGTTAATTCTCCACTTCTTCACTTAAAAATTGATAATGCAGGGAAAGCAGGTTTCTCCCAGGACTTCAACTATTTCCCTCTCAAAGTTTGGGAGGAGGGGGGACTCCCCACCACCTCCCAGGTGAATAGAAAACCTTCTTCACCTTTGCAAGTAACTGGTAGTGCAAGCTAGCTGCTCCAAAGGTCATGGGGTGGCACTATTCCACATGGCAAAAAAATGTCATGACAAGAACAAAACAAACAATGAAGGGAATGGTGCTCCCTGTGAGTCAACTTACTTAAAACCTGGATTACAAGAGTCTCAGCCCATGTCATTCACACTCAAGTGAATACAGTACAAAAGACATGTTCCCTCTACCAGAGTAGGTCTCACTGTTTTATCCTTAGCTTCTGAACTGCGGAACATTGGGTGGTGGATCAGGGGCAGTACCCCCATCTTTAGCTGGTTCTATGCTGCCCCTTGATTGGCCCTTTGCAAATGTCACACGTCCCTGAACAACACTGTTCTGACAGACTGCTGACTGTGGAGTATTTCCAGATTAAGAATATCACTCATCATTTTGAATGGAATTATAAAAGCTTTCCAATATACAGAAGCAGGTCAAATTATTGAAAAGCACAGCCAAATGAGCACATCTTGGCCACATAAGATCATGATTAGGGTCATTAGAATAGGTCATCACAGGTCATCATCATCATAAGGCCATTATAAGGTCACACATAACAGAAAGCCATAACAACCAATTAGTCAGATTATCATCTAACTGGCAGGCCATTTCCTCACCTCCATTGCCTGTCCCAACTCCAGGTCAAAAGTAACAACACATATTGCATGCACCCAGTTATCAAATGCATTCCATGGAATCATCTTCCCAATGTCGGGGCAGCTGGAAGATCCCCGCCTTGTTTCCTCCATCATGTGGTCTCCGGTTCACTGCTGGCACAGCAAGCACTGCAAATGTTTCACAATATCAGTACTTTCCTGCAATTGCAGTTGTTTATGTATTTTTGTTCTCAGTTTCATGGAAGTCAGACCAACAAACAGCTATGTCTTGATCTCTGGTAGACTTACTGGCTTCATCAAGATAACCACCAGCTTAACTTCATTGTTATGTGTGAACTCAGGCATTGCCAGTCAGTACCTAGACAAATGCTACAATGTGGTGGATACATGAACAGCATTAAAAAAGTGATGGTCTGGTGCAGTGGAAGGATTTTTGCAGACTGAGGAGAGACCCGGTAGGAATCTTCAAACTTTGGGCATGGTCAACAACAGGGCCAGACCATAAAAATACATTTTTCATGTGATAAATAAAATTCAGCCAGATTTGGCCCAGCCTGAATATGGTGTACATCATGCTGATGCAAGGCTCATTTCAAGGAGCACAGGCAACAAGCATATTGCATCTATTATTTGCTGGCTGACTGGAAGATTACCTATCTGATGACCAGACACCCATGTGCAGCAAACCAAGGTCAGGCCAATTGTGATGTTGCAAAAATAATTTTGCATTACAAAATGTTTTAGAATCTTTAGGCATGGAATTACTTCTATAACATGTTCACATGTTTGCAAACATGTTCAGCATGAGATGTACTATTTAAAGTCTGGTCTTACAGGAACCTTTGTAAGTTGCAAAAACAATGCAGTATGAGGACAACAAAGGAACAGAAAGAGTTGGGTTTTATGGCTTCAGGGATGCAAAAATAACCAATATCTGAAAAGATGAGCATTTCTGAACTGAACAATTCCAATTGATTTACATTAGTACAACTGAGTATGGCCTTGTGCAGCCTGGCAGGCCCCTGTGATGCATTTCTGTCTCAGTCCTTCGTTCCTATTGTCCTTCCCTGCTATCACTAAATTGCTTACCTCTCCGCCAAAGCTCCCTTTCATGACTTCCACTTCCAACGAAGGTCGGTAAGTTCAAGGTGGTGCAGGAGTATGCTTTGGGCGAAGGCGAATTTGGAAGATAGGTACGTGGGCGGGAGCAATCCTCTTCCGTACTTATTGCGGCCAAGGTCAGTCTGTACGCGATAGTGTATGCTTAATGAACCGTGGGGTGGAGACAGACGCAGCCTTCGAACAGCTTACTGAATTCGATATAGAAATACACCACGAATCTTGAATAACCACTTGTAGACACCACCCTTTCTTTCCTTAAGCCAGATCTCCAGCAGTGTGTTTCCGTGATTAGTCTTCTTGCTTTACAGCTGTTCAAAGGTTGAAATAGTTCTCGGGAAAAATGAATTGGACAACCAGAATGGTCCCTTCCATCACCAAAATACACACGGTCACCAGCTGAAGCACCAAGCTGAAACGGCCAGTTTTCACCAGAAAGCCTCAGACATTATCAATGGTGCTAGTTCGAATCTGGTATAGAAAATCGAACAGACATGAGGACTGAAACGTCCGATTACAAACTGAAGTGCATCAACAACCATCAAAATGAATGAAATGGAACAGAACCTCAACTCGTTGTCCTCCGCAGTTCAACTGGAATCAGCCCCTGGTTCCACTGGGGTTCAATTTGAACCATCAGTTAAATTGAGCCAAAACCCGTGGCGGTATGTTGGTTCAAGTCCCTATTAACGCGCTCGCAGGGGCGCAGCCAGGATACTCAAATACTATATTCGGGGGAAGGGGGGAGCGTCACATGCCGTTTTTTTAGACCCCGCCGGAAGGAAGTAGCTCAGTGAGAACACGTCGCTCTCCTTTTGCATTGTCAGGAGCCATCTTTGGTGCTAAAAGAAAAATGCGACCATAAAGGGGGAGGGACAGCGGAAGAGAGCCTAAATGCCCTCTTTTGAACGCGCTCGCTATAAGGCCCCTGACTTGGATAGAAGCGGCCGGTGGCAGCAGCAATTCAACGTCAGTGTGGTCAAAGGGGAACGCATGTTTGTTACGACACCCGTTGTCAGCATGCGGCAAGACCAGATTAGTTCAGGGCTCACATTTGAACCGTGGATCCAAAAACGTTGGGTTTCCGCTATTTGTTTCGCCAACGAGTTCTAATCTAAAGTTTATCAACTAACCCGCATTACCGAATGATGATCAGGAATTAAAAGACCTTTGTGGCTTGTGAATCCCGGTCTTTTCAAAATCCCATCGGGTAACTTAAAACCCTCATTTCAATGGCGTGGTCAGCGTTGGCCGTCGTACATGCTGCCAGCTCAGCGCCAATCGAGCCCAGTTTTGAACTGTTCGGCTGCGGATGACGAAAGTACTGCCGGTGGAAAAGCGTTCCAACCATTTACGACCCAGGAGCTGAATGTATTCCAAAAGACGAAGGTCATGGCCTGAGGGCTTCTCAGCTTGCATTCATGCTCTCTCGTCACCTCCGAGTCGTGCCTGGTCAGGAACTCACCAACCAGCAAAGGCATGCCTCCGTGAAGCATCTGGAACCTTGCAACCTTGTCTCCCCTGCGACGTCGGTGGTGCAGCAAAGGCAGTTGGAGGAGTCTGAGCCTCTCAGGCCGATGCCTTACCCCTTGGACGAGACGTGTAGCTCGTCATTGAACCTGCTCCATTCGTTCCTGATCCAGCTCGCCGAACGGACCCCAAGTGATGATGCCCCGCTTGCCAAACAGACCCTATGTGATGATGCCCAGATCGCCGAACCGACCCTATGTGATGATGTCCAGCTCTTTGAACGGGCCAGGTGATGATGCCATAACCTCGAATAGTTGTGCCAAAATGGACGTGCCGTGGTCCAAGCAACAGTGGCAGCGTGAGCATGTCAATATTGGTGAGTGGCAGTCTCACGACGGCCAGCCTTTGGTTGGCCTCAGAAACCCCCTTCGCAGGCTGCACGTGGAACACGATCTTGCATGAGCCTCCGCAAATTTTTTTAGGTACTTTTCGGTGGGCACAATTGCGATTTCCATGCCGTTCAGGAAGTATGTCAGGCACGGGCTGCAAGTGCCGATGTGCACTATTTAACGCTTGGGTGCCTTGAGTGGGAACAATCGTAATATTCCGACTAACTGACGAGGTCATTGAGGTTAACGTGGGAAGAAAACGGCTGGGGCCATGGAACACCTCAGTAACATCCGCAAACATTTTAACCGCGCTTCGCACTTCTGGTAAATCGTCGACGTAAATAATGAACGGAGGTGGTCCCAGCACCAATCCTCGAGGTATTCCCCTGGCGACGTCGTTCCAGTCAGACTTCGAACCATTGATCCGCGCGCTCTGCTTCCTGCTGCTAGCCTGGGCAAACGTGTCACACCCACACCATCTCCAGCCGAGTCACACGCGTCATACCCGCACCATCTCCGGCCGGGTCACACGCGTCACACCCACACATCTCCAGCCGAGTCACAAGCGTCATACCCACACCATCTCCGGCCGGGTCACACGTGTCACACCCACACCATCTTCAGCCGGTCACACATGTCATACCCAGACCATCTCCAGCCGGGTCACACGCGTCACACCCATACCGTCTCCAGCCGGGTCACACATGTCATACACCCACACCATCTCCAGCCGGGACAGACGTGTCATACCCACACCATCTCCAGCTGGGACAAACGTGTCACACCCACACCATCTCCAGCCGAGTCACATGCGCAATACCCACACCATCTTCAGTCGGGTCACACATGTCGTACTCACGCCATCTCCAGCCGGGACAAACATGTCACACCCACACCATCTCCAGCTGGGACAAACGTGTCACACCCACACCACCTTCACCACCCATTAGTTGTTCCTGTGTAAATGTTACGTTCCCGATCAAATCATCAGGTGAACCAGCAGCAAAGCGCCCTGAGATTTGATCCCGGTGATCATTAACAAACACGTCCCCGCCGGGCTTCAGATGGCCCTTCGCCTGCCAGGAGAAAGGGTGGATTTCCGCCCCCTTCCCCCATGACCTCGGCCCCCATCGATGGCATGGAAAAAAGGCACCTGCGGAAAAGTATTGACGACATAAGGCGAAAACACGTGTACTTTTTACCCAGGTCAATGTTAAGGTCACAATAGGTCACGAATAGATCAGGATGCGTGAGTGGGATTAAATGAACATATGTCATATGCTGACCAGGAGAAACCGAGGTTAAACGGTAAATATTGAATATTGAGGATATGAGGGGTAAAATGAAGTAATTTCTGACTCTTCACTTGGGTCAGGTCAAGTATGTGATTATTCCAAAATGGCCCACATGGACAAGGATACCACATTTTCTCTCTTTTTGCTCGTGACCAAACTTTTATGGTTGAATTATATGTATGACCATGTAAGGTAACGAAGCACCGAGGTCAGGAGGTAACGAAGCACCTAGTTCCATTTTAGGTGACGCAAGGGTCCAAGCTTATGGTCAAGTGAGGTCGAATTTTCAAATGCTCAGAATCGAAGAGTTCAGTGTTTTAACAGGGACATTGTAACATCGTAACATTAATTGACATTGTTGTCTGAAAATGTCTGTCTTACTACCCTTGTGCCCTTTGGTGAGAATTCTCTTCCTGTTCGTTGGTCAGTTTTAATCCTTGCAACTTCCTTGCTCCTAGATTCCACCCGGTATACTCAACCCACTTCTTTTGGAACGCCTCTCGCCGCTTCGACGATCCACCTTACTGCTTCGGAGACGCACCCTGCCAATCCAGCGAAACCGAGCCAGAGCAGTGCGACAGCTGGCGAGCGGTACAAAGGAGCCGAAATGAACGTCCAGTGGTTGTTGAGCGCCTTCGACTGCCTTCTCCAAGACAACCGACAGATAAGCGGCAGGAAGCGAGCTGTGCTGGTGTGCACCATCTGCGCAGAGCACGAGGTGGAGGCAGCCAAGGCTTCGGCGAACGGGTGGGTTTACATGCCAGCGGCGTCAGAGCGGACAGCAAGGAGAAACTGATGGGCGTGGTAGATCATATGCACGGAAAATCTCATGCTGTTACTGTGAATGCGAAAAACCTGCAGCAGTAGTGGAAAAGCGGAAGCTCGAAACACTCCTGGATGTCCATCCTCAAGAGAACTGCCGCTGGTGTCACCAAGACGCTTCTGGAGTTCGCCGTTGCTGTTTACAACGATAGCCTGCACGAGACTCTGGCCGCTTGGTCGTGGCCAGCCCGCTCCCTCGCAGCGCTGCACGAGCAGCGAGTCTGGACAGCTACAAGAGAGGGTGGTTGGGAAGTGGAGCTACAGCCAACAGACCCACCTTCTGCAGCTCTTCACTACAGAGATCCGAATATGTACCGGGAGATGCTCAGTGTCGTCGCCAAGTTAGAGCGGGCCAAAATCGGCGCCAAGATTGCCGCTGGAGTTGTGTACAGCCTACAGGTCGACGGCAGTATGGACCATCAGCAGCAAGACAACAAATTCATCCCTGCCAGAGTGGTCGATGCTGACGCTGAGCTGCAGACCTACATTCTAAACGTGGTGGAACCGGAAGAAGATGACACAAAAGGTCTACTAGAGACGGTCAAAACTGCTGTTGAATGACTGGATCTGCCTCTCGACAAGCTGGTTGGCTTGACCACGGACAGAGAGAGCGCCATCACGGGTCGCAGGTGTGGTCTCTGGAAAAGGCTCAATGACTGCTGGGACGTCACCTGATCACCATCTGGTGCGTGTGTCACAAGGGTGACCCAGCTCTCGAGAGTGTGGGGAAGACGGTATCGGAGATCCAGCACTGGAAGACAGACCTGTGTGCCCTAATAACGCACTTCTGAACATTGAAGTCCGGGGACAAAAAGCTCTGCAAGAGCAGCAAGAAGGTGGTCACTTCTACTGCACTTCATTTCACCCCAGCACCTCGAGGTCCCTTTCGCCGAGCACCTGCTGTCGTCAATCAACGCTGTCCTGACGGACCAGCGGCCTGTAGAGAAGTATGGCAGGAGACAGCAGCAAAAGGCGGCAAGAAAAAGAAGATTGCGGCCGGGGGCTTTATCAAAAAATAGGCCGCGGGCGGCCGCGCAGTCCGTGTGACGAGCGTCATGGCCGACATCTGCGGAATTTTCTGCCACCTGCAGAAAAATTCCAACACGGGGACCAACACAACGCAGCTACCAGATGTGCCGGAGGCCCGCAATGCTGCGCTGTTGCAGCTGGAGCTAATAAAAGAGGAGCCTCCGCCTGGTAGACAGGAGGAAAAGTTCGTTCCAGCTGCAGACGAACCAGTTTCTTAGTGCAGCCTCGTTTTGGACGAAGAGAACGCTTGAAACTGTGCGTAATGAGATCGTTCAGGCCGCGACGAACTTCCTAGGGCGACAGGCTCGATGT